GTTGATCTGCCTGTTCTGCTCCCCACTCTGTCTCTGGTGAAGCCTCTCGCCACCCCTGAGCCTCTGGCCTGTACCCCAGCTCTGTATGCATAAATAAATAAATCTTTTAAAAAAAAAAAAAAGAATATAGGACCAAGCTTAATAACACTGTGGGATGGATGAGGTAGTGAAGATTTTGTATTTCTTGCTTATTAAAAATTTAAATAATGCACATATCTTTTCTTCCATGGCTAATGCCACCCAAAAATGCTCTGTGCCAGCATCCATCATCACATTTATGCCCTACTGCTATTTTCCTTAATAACATGACTGCTCCAACGAGAGCGATTACAGAGCAGGGCTGACAGGACTGCTTGCTGCAACAGTGCAAAGCTTCACTACCAGAGCTCCTTCTCATAAATGTGGCCCTCACCGGTACTAATGCTTCTACAGGACTTTCTAGACTGTGACTGTCTGTGGCGATTGAAAAGCAGCACTAATTTTAATCTCAGTCTACGGCATTGCCCTGTACCTGCCACTGACTGGAATTCTGTGATTCAGCTTCTCCAAACCAAGATAAAACGTGATCCGTTAGCCTTTTCGACTTTTCCCACATGTCACCTAAGGTGTTACCACATTTGAGGACTGGGATTTATCAAGTCTTCAAACAATGGTTTTGGCATTTTCTTTCGCTTTTAGATTTCGCAAAGGGAATCTGTGGCAGCTTCAACAACATTAAACAAGACTAACACCAGGTAAAGTGCCAAATGGAGCCATACCGCGGAGGTATGGTGATTCTGATTTTTATTCAATACTTTTTATCACTGTGTATGTCTTCGGGAGACTAAAACTGTCCTGTACCCAACGTCGTTTAAAAAACTTGGGGTGGGGGGGGAGACAACTTAGGCCACATCTGTCTCCTTTATGGAGATAAGTGTGGGTAAAACAAACTTTCCCAGCGCTTCTGGCTGGCAGAACCCCAAGGTCGTGTAATAAAGCTTCGTACAAAATCAACCTCCAGAAACAGAAGCTCCGCGCTTCGCCCCCGTCTGACACTAGGAGGTCCTTCCCGCGCCCTCGCCCAGTAAACGGGGCCAGAGCCTGGCCCGGGCGCCGGCCTCGGCGGGGCGCAGGCTCCA